TGTAGTCTTACAGTTCCCTTTCCTGACTTTCTAAGATGGACTTATTATCCTGCTCTTGGGCAGTGGCCACACAAACAGATGAAGACTGTAGATGTGAGTTCAGATGAAAATCTTATTCATTTAAGAACCGAGCTAAGATGAAATATTATAAATGGCTTTCCTAATCTTTATAGATTTTATCCATGATTGTTAACATTATTGGTAAACGTTAAGTTTCTGAAATCAGGCAGGATGCAAGAGATAGCTAAGCAGGCAGACATAACTCTCCTGACATGTCCTTCACTGAACAGGAAGTAATTCAAAGTTTGGCTGTACTTATATATAATGCTAAACCTAAACCATGGTTTAGCATGCAGTGCACAAGCAGGAACATGCTTGAATTACGCTTTGGCTTCCTTTTCTTTCCATGGCAAGGTCTTTACCAGATTGTAGAGTTTCCACTAATGTTCATTTGACATACAAACAATAAATTGTAGTTTGAAATACACTCTGGTTAGTTTCTAAGCAAGCTAATTTCAAAACATGGTTTATTAACCTTACTTGTTTAACTAACAGGAGTTTGTTTCTGGTTCAAACTAAATAGAAACTCATGCTTTTGTGAAACTAAATCCTAGTAAAGCTTTCTGGTTCATGTGGTCGGGGGGAGGGGAAGCACATGAACCTGAGTCTTCTCTCGGGCTACCTGCTCATGCATGTACTGCTAAACCGTGGTTTAGCCTTACATGAGAACCATAGCACTGGGGATACTAAAACTAATGACACCCTCCCTACCGATTAGGACTAATCAACAACAACAACTGGCACTGGAAGCTGCACTACTTTGACCTGATGAGAGAAATTGCTGGTTTGGCAGTGTCCCTATATCAACGTTTTCTGCACAAAGGAAAGGAAACTTTTGCCTCATGGTATAAACCAACATGTGTTTGGTTCCAATCAAAATTCTTATATTGTCCTCATGTGACACAGAAGTGCAACCAAGAGACATGAGCGGATTTAATTTTTTTATTATTTTTGATGCCATACAAAAAATACCATGTTACTAATCTGACATTTCTGTTGAGTGAAAATTTAATGAATAAATATATTTTTATAGCTTGGAAAAGGTCTCTTAATGTCCTGGGTGTTAGTTGGAAAGGCGTGTGTGAAAGATTGTGATGCATTCATTAGAACTAGATAGCCCTATAAATATAAACAGGGGACATACATTTACAGCCCTGGGCTTCTTATTAGTAATTTCAAAGTGAGAAGATAAGGGATGTTTATGAATACAAGTAATTTATGATGTTCTGACTGCTAACTATTTATTTATATGAGAAATTACACCCCACACCTTTCTCATATACGTGTGTTATTTAAGGTGGCTTACAATAGTTAAAAATCACAATATTAAAGTAACATATTATGGATTCAGGCTAGATCCATTGATCTGAATAATAATTCTATGGACACCTAGTGTGCTGTTAGAGTGGCATTAAAGATATTCTCACCCTCAAAAAAACTATCCCCTTCCCCCTTCTGCTGGGTGGCAGAGTTTGATTAGATTGAGAGGTCTCATGGCAAAATAGGCTATCGGCCAAACAGGTGGGAAGCTGGCTAGCAATATCTCCTTGGTCATCGTTTGCACGCATTGATCCAACTGTGGTGGGGAATCTGTGGCCCTCCAGATGTTGTGTAGCAACTCCTGTCATTCCCTGGCTGTTGGCTATGCTGGCTGCATTGATGAGAGCTGGAGCCCAACATCTGTGGAGTCATAGGTGCCCCAACACTGAACGGAAACATTAACATTGCAATTGAGTTCAGTGGGGGTTAGTTTTCACATCAACTAAACATAATGTCTGAATCAGCTCAGAGGCTACCTTCAAATCATTATTTGCCTGATTTCCTCTATTCAGCATCACTTAAAGGTAAAGGGACCCCTGACCATTAGGTCCAGTCGTGGATGACTCTGGGGTGCGGCGCTCATCTCACTTTATTGGCCGAGGGAGCCGGCGTACAGCTTCTGGGTCATGTGGCCAGCATGACTGAGCCGCTTTCTGGCGAACCAGAGCAGCACACGGAAACACCATTTACCTTCCCGCCGGAGCGGTACCTATTTATCTACTTGCACTTTGACATGCTTTTGAACTGCTAGGCTGGCAGGAGCAGGGACCGAGCAACGGGAGCTCACCCCGTCGCGGGGATTCGAACCGCCAACCTTCTGATTGGCAAGTCCTAGACTCTGTGGTTTAACCCACAGCGCCACCCGTGTCCCTTTTTCAGCATCACTTAGGCCTGGCTAAAAACCAGCAGCTGTGCAGAGGAGGGGAGCACTGTGGCACCCTCCTGGCAGTGATAGTGGAATGTGTTTATCAGGACAAGGAAGCATTGAGGTTGGGAGTAGGGCCCTCCAGGCTGGTTGTTCCAGCCTGCAGGTGAATGCACTACTGCTGCTAAAATCTTGCATCAAACTTCTTAACTCAGCATTATGTTAGAACAATGCAAAAGGCCATTATCACCGCCATCATCGTTAACAAGATGTACAGCTAGATACCATCAGCATATACTACTGCAGTTGTACCAGTCTCACGATATTCCCAGCTAGCGCTGCATACAATTACAGCAAGGGAGTGAACAGCAGTTCTAGTTCTCACCAATTGGCTTCTGACAACTCAAAACCCTGAAAACATTTTCTTCTGTGGCGATGCTCTGAATTTTTGAATGGTGTTCCTCTAGCCCTTTCACAAAACTACAATATTAAGGATTATAATTTTATTATTTGAGAGCCATGAAGGATGAAACAGATTTGAAACTGCTTTACCTGTGTAGTGAGAAGGCATCAACAGTTCCAAAGGCTTCAGGAATCTATGCTCAGAATGAAAACAGTTCATGGGATAATATGGAAGCCCTGTCTATATGGTCCCTCTACAAAACACATATAAGCTAATTATGCTTATATGTAGTGGGTGACAACCATCCTTTTTAAATAGATGGTAGATAGATAGATGAGAGAGAGAGAGAGAGATACAGATAGATTTAAATATTATATTTATATTTCCCCCGATTAAATATTATAATATGCAGTTTCCAGCTCTGACCCACCTTAAGACAGGGTGAGTTAAAAATCTAAACAAAAAACCCACACACATAATAATCATTAATAAAAACCAACTGCACAGCATTCAACTTATCTGTGATTGTTGATCATAGTAATCATCATTACATAATTCATAGTTTTTACACCATTTAACGAATAACTTTAGCTCCAGTGAGCAGGTTTATTCGAATGATAGGACATCGCTTAATCTTCATCTAACGTTTTTCTAAAAATGCTTGTTAAAATGTGCAAGGAAGGGTTGCTTGCAGCACAATATAGCTATACCTTTCCTTATTTTTTGCAACACTTCTACTATATAATTCTCCAACCCTGCCCTGAGGTAGATGGACCAACAATCTGACTCAGTATAACGCGGCTTCCTAATCTTTGCACAGCTTCCTTTTGCATTAAGTTATCCCTTACTTTGATGGCCATTTCTGGCTATGAAAAAGCGGCCCTTTTTTCATTTCCCATTTGCAACCAATTTTCATAAAGAAACTGGAGAAAAACACTGGAGAAAATACCTACTTCACCCTTTTCTGCAGCCCATAGCATCCTGCCCAAGACAACTCTTAATTCAGTGGTCATCAGTCTGACAAACAGATGATAAAGAATTAAGGAGAAGAACACAGAAAAGGTCAGCTGTTGATCTCAGGAATTTCCATTGAATCATAGAATTGTAGAGTTGGAAGGGGAACTTTGAGAAGTATTCTCAAAAGAAACAGAACTCTATTTTGACCAGGACTGAGCTGAAGAATTTGGGCCCAGTAATTTTTGTAGGTTTTGAGTGGTGTGGATAGTTACAGGTGGGAGTGTTGGCATTCACCAGGCCTCCACAGTTGCCTGTGTTGCTGCTGCATACTGGGACGAAAGGGTCCAGGCAGTGGCCAGGTCAGTGCAGTGCAAATTTACCAGCGGGATCGCCACCACCCGACCCCACTGTCCCCTACCACATGGCTAAGAGTATAACCTGATAGCTCGGAAGCCGTCAGTTCAAATCTTGCCTCATATATGAATTCATTATGCCAGCCTGCCTATGCACATCTACTCAGAAGTAAGCTCCGCTGAATTGAAAAAGACTCACTCACAGCAAAATGCATACAGAATTGCAGCTTAAATAGTCTCCAATAAGCTATCATCTCTTGGCCTATGTCCTCTATATACAATATAGGAGTAACATCTGCTTTATAAAATCACTGAGGTAATATATGTGAAGCACTTTGAAAGCAGCATATAAATGCTAAGTACTGCTATTAAACATTCTGAAAGTGCTGCCTTGGGATTTGTGTGGGTGGGGTGGAGAGGAATGTCAGTAAGGTTAAATAAATAAATAAATGGTGGGATGGGAGCAAATCCATAGGTGTGGTAAGATTACAAAGGAAATTGGGTGAAGATGGAAGGATCAAAACGAAGATCACCTTTGTGGCCTGATAATTTTGAGATTACTATGTTGCTGTATAAAAATGTTACCAGTTTACTCAGGTTACTACAATAGCATTATAACAACACTGACAGCTTGTCAATATTAATAGGCTGGTTTAATGCATTATCAATGCTAATCCAATTTTACTCCTTTCCTGGACTCTACCAGACAACAGAAGAACAAAAATCAGCCTTAGAATGGCTGGGAACTACTGAATAACATTGGCAATACTTATATATTAATGGGGAAAGGCAGCTATGTTGCTACACACCTGCAATATTCACTGTCCACTTATGACCTATTTGCCATAAAATTTATCCACTACGTCTTTAAAAAAAGCTTGCCACCAATTTGAAAATCATGTATGTGATCATATATGTATATACAGTCATGCACAAAAACACTATGGACTAACAATAAAATCCTATACATCAGGGGTGGGGAACCTGGGCCTGCCATGGATCAAATTTGGCCCAAGATGCCATTTTCCCCAACCATGCTCACCTGTCACTTGTGACATCAGCTGATGGGCAGGAGGATAGGCTGCAACTCTACGTTGGTAGCTTACTTCTTTCTCACCTCCCTGTGAGCTGATGGAGAGGGGTGAAATAAAGATGCCTTTTGTAGGAACTGGCTGCAAGCAGGAAGGAATCAGCAAGCACAGGGCAGGCAATGTGGTGCTTCAGAACCCCACACAAGGTATTTTGACAAGTGGATGAGGCAACCCACCTGTCAAGGTTTGACTCACAGTGGGATCAGAAAAAGATCTGACCCCACAGAGCCAAAGGGGTTTCCCACCCGTTGTATATGTTTACTTATAAGCTATTAGTTTTGAATGACGCTAGCTCCCAGGTAAGTGTACAATCCTACATCCACATATGTAAGTGGAAGCCTAATTAAATTCATTACTTCTGAGTAGTCATGCATAATATTATGCTGTAACTTAGTTGCACCTAGTTCCCATTCCTTAGAAGTCACACTAAAATAAGAGATTGAGAATGAAAATATTCTCTTTTAGCTTTTGTTTCTGGCCTTGTATATCTAATTCACATAACTCAATAATTTGATTAAATTTTAATTGGTTATTTTATTTTTAATTGTTCTTATTGTGTTCTCTGGGTTGCTTTGGAGGCCCATGTGGGGTCAAAAAGCACCTGTAAATATTTATATAAACTAAATGAATAAATGAATTCCTATTGAACTCCAACAAATTATTACTAGTTACATCTTTGAAGGTGAAAAACAATAACTATTTAATTTTTTTTTACTATGTAGCTCCACACATTTTAGACGTCTGAATAACCAAGGTGCATTTTTCTTTTTAAAAATCCTGAGTTTCTCATATGAAGGAGAATAAATCTGTTTAATTCTGCATTTCGTTGCAGAGTAAGCAATTCACTATGGATCATATCCAAAGCTGTATGCTTCAGGAAAAAAGACAGTTGAGGAGATCTTGTGGAGAGGTCAATTGAAGAGGAACATATCAATTGCAAAGGATAAGGATAAAAAGCAAGTTAAGGATAAGTGTGAGATTAAGTGATCCGGCTTGGTAACAGAAAATGCGGATTGAAAACGAACACAAGGGGAAGCAAAGTATTGTGGTAATACTTAGTCTCTTAATTTGGGAATGAAATACAGATCTTTAGCATGAAAGAATGGCAGGGTGCTATCCACAATCTTTCCTGCTACAGAGTAATACCCCATTCAAATAAGCATATTATTTTTTAACAACGACTCCTTGGATACTAGTATATTAGAGCAATCCTGTCATTCTTCTCCCTTTCCACAGTTATATACAGAATCTGCCTTTTCCCCACCTCCCATGTGGGTCATATACAAATTCTTTCCCTCAAAATTCTTTCCCTCAAAACTTCACGTCTATATTTTCACACCATACATATTTAGTAGTTTCCTTCTTCTGGGCATCAGAATCTCTTCTAGGCCTGTGCATCTTCCCTTGTCATTTTCAAGTATCAATATACTCATTTCCAACCTATTTAAGATACTGTGGTAATGGCTAGTAAGTTAGTTCTGGGCTGCAGTTTTCACTTCAGCATTTTCTGGTGTTTTTAGTGGCTGAGGGAAAGCTGGCCTGGAACGTTTTTGCTAGTCAGTGGGGAGCATCTATTTCTTTAAAATGCTGTTAAGAAATGAGACTTACCACAGCAGTTACAGTATGAGGTGGCAGAGGAAAGAATCAAGTCTTTTTTCTTCCTCTTGAAAAAGAAAGAAAAGAAAGACTGAAAGCCACCACTTCAAAAGGCAACAGAGATTATGAGAAGTGTTCCTTTCGGGGAACAGATCAGTGGCTTGAGTTTGCCTCAGTGGCTAAACTCACACGGTTCGTCTGTTTGCTCGAAGCACTGGCAAAGCTTTCAACCGTTTTTGTTTTTTTTAAAGAGAGTTTGACACTCCTCTATGCCATCTCATATCTATTATACTAAGCCCCCACCACACAAAAGCCTCCAAAAACGGTCCCTACTTTCACAAATGAAATCTGAAGAACAGTGCCAGATTTACGTATAAACTAAACAAGCTATAGATTAGGGCCCCACTCTCTTGGGTGCCCCCAAAAACATTAAAGGGGGGGGGACTGGATGTACATCTTCAAAATATAAGATAAAAAACAAATAAAATAAAACCTACATACAGCAACAGTGTTTTGTGTTGAATAGGCTCCTGTGATATAAGTAATGGGCCCTGCCTGCTAGCCTGCTCCCTAAAAATATCACTGGTTTGCTCATTTCTATATATAGGGTTCCTACATTCTGCGTGGATTGCAACATGTGCAAATGGCTTTAGATACCTTGTTGTTGTTGTTGTTTAGTCGTGTCCGAATCTTCAACACAAAAAACAGCAACAATTTGTTGTTGCCAAAAGACAGATGGACATATAAAAGGCCCCATTACCTTCAGTAGCTTAGGGCCTCATCAAACCTAAATCCGGCCCTGCCAACAAATGTGGTAGTGGACATTTTCAGCCCACTGCTCTTACAAGCTTATCTCTTCATTCAAATAAGCTTCAGGCTTTACGAGATGCACGGACGACAGGAATCACAAGGAACTTAGCTGCTTGCCACACTGTTTTATCATGTCAAAAGGAGAACTCACCCTTCTTCTCTTCCCACCCTCATCACTAATGAAATGAATAGGTTCTGATTCATAGGTAACTTTCACATCTCACCACTGAAGATGGGGAGGGAGCTCAAAAAAAAAAAAATCCCACTTGGACACCAAGAATAAGTGTGGGACATTGAAGCACCTGCTTCCTGTCACAGCGCACATAGTAAGATCCACAGCTGCGCCCCTGCCTAAAGGTATCTCCTTCTGCATTGCCTCTCTTTTCATGTGTCCACAACCATGCTTTGCCCAGTATTCTTTGTGAGGTACAAGTTCAAGACATCTCCAATAACTTATTTCATATGTTTCAGAGCCATGGCTTTCAATTATTCTGACTGAAACTTCTCAAATCCCTTTTAAGATATGGCAGCTATGCAGCAAGTGAGCTGCTCCTTTTGGAAATCTGAAGTTAAACAAAGACTTTTCTCTGTAAGGTGTTTTTCATGCAGGGCCTAGAAATGCAATTACATTTAATTTTTATAATAAAATCATACAATCACTGGAGGTATGTGTTAGAAGGTACATTTTATTGTTTTTCATCATGTAATTGTGTGCTTCGTTGCTTTTGGGCTCCTTTTTTCTCATCGTGGGAGGTGTTGTAACTTTGGACAAACCAACTTGGGGATGAGATTGGGATGTGACACTAAGCAGTACCTTGTGCTGCAAACCAAAAAACGGGGGGGGGGACCCTGCCCTTCTTATTTCATATTAGCTGTATTTTAAAGTAATGATCAAAGAGAACATGTCATTTGAGGTAAATAAAAAGATGTCTATTACAGACTAAAAGCAAATTGAAGAATATGGGAAGCATTTGGGATTTGGTTATTCACAAAAAAATGTGAGCCTGAATTCACCACTTCATCACTTACACAGAAGTTGTAGTATATAAATGCTTTGGAATCCATCTCTCTTTTTTATTACTTTTATTAATAATTTATTTATTATTTTCCCATTTTACAGCAAATCATACAAATTAACAAAACCAAAAATAACTTCAAATCGACTCCCCCCCCCCAATCTGTGGTTCATTCCATTTTATATTTATTGCTGCATATCCAGATTAATTCCTTATTTATTTATTTTCTCTAAAATTTCCTTAAGTTATCTTTACTGCTCGTTTTACATTAACTCTGCTAATGTTTTAAGTTGCTTACAATAAATTTTCAAATATTCAATAATTTCCCCCAGTCTTTATTAAAAATTATTTCTTCCAGATTCCTTATTCTTCCCGTAAGTTTGGAATCCAAATCTCATCCATCCCTGTGGCAATTCAATCTCCCACAGTATATATAAAATGAATGGTATAATATAAGCCGCTGCCTACACAATTTTAGCTTTGGGAAGGAAATAGGGGCCTAACAACTCTCAGCACCATTAACAAATGGCAGTATCCAGGATTCTTTGGGGGAAGCCAAGACTATAGGAAGTAGGGACGCGGGTGGCGCTGTGGGTAAAAGCCTCAGCGCCTAGGGCTTGCCGATCGAAAGGTCAGCGGTTCGAATCCCCGTGGCGGGGTGCGCTCCCGTTGCTCGGTCCCAGCGCCTGCCAACCTAGCAGTTCGAAAGCACCCCCGGGTGCAAGTAGATAAATAGGGACCGCTTACTGGCGGGAAGGTAAACGGCGTTCTGTGTGCTGCGCTGGCTCACCAGATGCAGCTAGCTTTGTCACGCTGGCCATGTGACCCGGAAGTGTCTCCGGACAGCGCTGGCCCCCGGCCTCTTAAGTGAGATGGGCGCACAACCCTAGAGTCTGTCAAGACTGGCCCGTACGGGCAGGGGTACCTTTACCTTTACCTTTAAGACTATAGGAAGCACCTAAAGAAACCAGTGTCTGCATAAGCTTACAGATGATCTGTGATTTAAGAAAGGCATGTATAAGAAATGAAAGAAAGGGGAAATTACAAAGAAGGAGTATACACAAGTAACCAACATTTGCAGGGAGAAGGTCAGGCAGGCCAAAGCTCAGAATGAGCTCAGGCTTGCAAGAGAAGTTAAAATTAATTTTAGAAGGTTTCTTTGGATAAGTTCACAGCAAGAGAAAGAGCAAGCAAGGAGAAATGCTATTGGGTGACAGAGAAAAGGTGGAACTGCTCAACACGTACTTTGCCTTGCTCTTCACACAAAAGGAAAGTGATGCCCAACCTGGTGATAACAGAATAAATTATGCAAGGAGGGAGCTGCAGCCCATGATATGAAAAGAGGTGGTAAGAGAACACCTAGCTACTTTAAATGAATTCAAATATCCAGGCCTGATGAGTTGCACCCAATGGTACTAAAGCATGGGTTTCTTATAACTGACAGATCTCTTATCTTCTTTGATAGTGTTACAAGATTGGTGCATCACAGGAATGCTGTGGACATAATGTATCCTGATTTCCGTAAAGCTTATGATGAAGTCTGCCATATTTTGCCATAATAGAGATGGTGTCTGGATAAAAAACGGAAGGGAGTTCAAAACGTAGTTTAATATCA